TTGAAGTTTGTTTAGTTTTGTTTTGACTTTCTCCTTTATGAGGATTTTTAAGATTGAATTTGGTCTTGAAACTGCACCTAAATTTTTAGGTTGTCTACGTATCCCATAGGGAATCAAGTCAATCATAGTTCTTAATTATGAATTTGGATTTTAGAGAATTCCCCGATATATGACATAGGAGGAATTCAAAGATATTTTAAAATTCGATTTGGAATTTTACTTTAAAATTTGGATTTGAAAGTTGTATTTGGATAACTCCCCGGTATATGACCTTATGAGGAATTAAAAGGATCCTTTTTTTTTTTTTTTGCTTAACAGATGCCCCCTCGATTATGTACGTGACATTTATGTGCGCAGGCCATGCTCGAGAAAAGAAGAAGAATATTTTAATAATTTTATATTCATTTCTTCTCCTTTTTTTTTACAGGCTTATTTATGGATGCTTTTGGCAAACTTTGTTCGGAACGAGCCCCTGAGGAATCTGGCAAAGAATTTACTTCAGGGCCAATTAGTTACCAACGTTCGGTTGGTTTAGATGAAGTTCGAGCTTCGACACAATTTAGCGGTCCCCTTTATTTGCTTAATTCTCAAGAAGTTCATTCTGGTTATTTAAGATATCTCTTCGATGGTGAAGAAAATGCCATCCAATTGAGTCAATAGAATGGTGTCGTTTTCAAAGCTGAGACCCTCGAGGAAGTTGACAATGGGCATGAAGGGGATCTCAGGAACATGGTTACTCCTGTTTTTACCCTGGTTTGCATCAAACGCTACAAGAAAAAAAGAAACCTCCTTTGCAATTCAATTTTCGTGGTCGAGCTCACATCCAACCTTGCTTAATGGAGTGGACTACAAAGATTATAAGTCGTAACCACAACGTTTTGAAGAGAGCAGATATTTATGATGCAATAGCTGTTGTACAATATCATTTTTCTCATAATTGTAATGTTTGGCGAGCATTTGCTGAATTGTGGGGACCAACAAGCAATACTCTCCATCATATTGGTGGTGAAATGGGAATCTCGTTGTATGATCAGAAAACCATCAGCGGTTTGCCTATCTTGGGAATCTCGTATGAAGAGTTTATCCCGACAAATAAGAAGTTGTTGAACACTTCCTTATATCATCCTTGCATTGTAGAACTTTTAAGGATCCATTCTCGTATATGTAATATTTTGAAAACTCAATTTGTATCTTGGGATCAATGGACTGAGTATTTTAATAGAGGAGAACAAATGTTTGTCGGTTTGAAAACTGAGCAGGCTCAAGATTCCCATTCTAAAGATTTCCATAAGAAGCCTCGAAAAAGCCAATTAAGACAACTTCCTTTGTAGGTTTCAGAAGTCGGTATGCTCTCTGCATTCCTATCACTGTGGTTAAGTCGTTTCGTCCTTCCTACCAAGGGTGGCAACATAAGGCCTGAAACTTTTTATATGGTCTCTCTGATGGCTCAAGGCACGAGAGTGTGACTCGCCCCCACAGTTTTGGGATACATTTATCGCACATTTAATGAGTACGTTGCAGGTACGAATGGATTTGGTGTTAGCCGGGTTTTTCTTCCAATGCACTATGTCATCGGATGGTTAGCTGAACACTTCCCTTATTTATATTTTGGTTGGGAAGACAACAATAACCTGCCTTTGTTGCGTAAATATGCTGGAATCGAGCCTGAGAAAAGAACTATGACTGGAAGTAGTCATATGATACGCGACAAACAGCATGTCCGTTACCACCCATATTCATATCATGAAGAGAGAGATACAGATTACTTAGATGATGAAGACTTAGCCGACGAGAAATTTGAAATTTTATTGTCCATGCATGCAGCTTTACTCCCTGTGAGGGTAGGTGGTGTTATATTTGTGGAACCGTACTATCCAAATAGATTTGCTCACCAGTTTGGTTTTGACCAAGGCGTTCCTTCATATAAGTTTCGTTTTACGGTTGATGTGAAAAAGACTTGCGGGATAGATGGATTTGCCGATGCTTGGTATTTATTTTTAAAAAGACGTACTGGGACTTATTTTCGTATACCAAGGGCCACCCGCATAGGGCAGTGCACATGGTGGTATTGTCGTTGGTAGATGCGTAGCACTACTCCTTACTTGGGGCGCTCTGTGAAAAATCTCCATTCATTATTTGAGAAAAGGCCTTACAAGGGAGAAGATGTATACGTGATAACTGACATTTGACGTCTTCATGCCAATGTAGATGACATTTTCATTCGATCCCATTCTCTGGCGGATATTGTTAATACTCACGAAGCTTCTCGATCAAGTAATGGTGATGAGCGAGATACGAACCCTAAAAGAATGAGATGTACAAAGATTACTGAGCTTGATTATGCAACTGCTGAAACTGTCTCTTTCCCAGTGATGTCTCCAGAACCTAGACATATGGATGTAGGAGCTGCTTCTTCTTCATTCCAAAATACTGGAACTAATGTTACTAGTTCTGATCATATGCAAGTTGACACTGATATAACTACTTCATCTTTTGGGCCGGGAAATAAGTCAACAAGATTTGAAGATCTTCCAAAAATCATCCAGACCCCATCATCTCCTAATAACCATGTAATTGACGCATTTAGGACTCTTGACGACGAAGAGCCCGAAGATTTTGAAAGTTTCAGGGAACAGGCTATTGTTAAAGTCCCGTATGAATCATGCTTCCTTCATCAAAAGTCATTTATCGAATTTCTAGCATCACTAATCAAATTTTAGATAAACCTACTCGAGATTACATGATCAGTATGATGAAGTCAATCTCTGATTGGGTTTTACTTTCAACATCACCAGAGAGCACTCTAAATTATCGTTCTCAGGTTTCTGAGTATATCAAAACAATAGATTTCCTCATTGATATGAAGGAGATATCTCAAGGTGAGTTCGTATGGTTTAGAGACACTGTAAACCGTTTGTTTGATTTAGAGAAGCATTTAGTCACTTTTTCTCCTTTTATTGAAGAGAAAGCTTCCATGAACGAAAGGTTAATTCTAGATTTGATTCATCACGAAAAGGAGCATCTTACTGCTATGTGTATTTTGTCTTGCGATCTTCCGAGTGCTCAATCGGCTATAGAGAATATTGAGGCTTTTGAGGCAGAAGTAAAAGAAGCAGAGCAGAAGGCGCAACAATTGCGACGTTCATATGAAGATCGATTAAAATCCGCAAAAGATGCAGTTTCCCAGCTGAAGAATTCTTTAGATGAACAAATAAAGATCGACGATGAGATCAAGCAACTGCAGGTTGAAACTAAGGTTGCAAGGTTTATCGAAATTCAAGAAGCTACAGCTGAAGCTAGGTCTCAGGAGCAAGAATCTCAGAAGATACGTGACTCTTTGGCTGCATTCTTCAAGAAAGACTGATGATGATTTCACCCGTCATTTTCTTCATTTAGACACCCTTTTTGTCTCTTCTTTTTATTTATTTATCACTTGGATTTGGCTTTTCCTATTTTTTTAGATTTATTATGCTTATTTTCAAATAGCATGTATTTGGACATTTTATTCAATTTGAGTAATCGAATAAGAGAGGGTAATTTGTTTGTTTTGATTTTATGGCTACATCCAATTTATACTGGATTGCCTACGTATCCTTTACACAGGAATCAAGCCTTCCGTAGTTCTATGGGGAACACATGTTTTTGATTTTGGGGTTGCATCCAGTTTATTACCGGATTGCCTACGTACCCCTTTAGGGGATCAAGCCATTCGTAGTTCATTGCTTTATTTATTTGCTTCCGCTGTTGTCTTTCTTCTGCGGGCTATATGTCAAGAGGCGTACCTCCCTATTTAGGCATAGAATTTCTTGACAAACTTTCCATTTACACAAGGGTAAATGCAGTGACCCTCTGAATCGGAAAGTTCATACACCCCTTTTGGAAATACCTAAGTGATGACGTATGGTCCATACTATTTTGCTTCAAATTTACCTTGCATCCTTCTTCTTATAACAATTGGTCTTCTGATTGTAAGGACCAACTCTCCGACCGTGAAGGATCTAAATTTGACCTTTCTGTTAAAGGCCCCTCCCACTTGGGCATGGTAAATTTTGAGCTTTTGTTGTACTGCGAGCCTTTTCTCATTAATTGAGTAGCAATTCTGAGAGATGGTAATTGCACTTCCAATGGGAGTACGGCCTCAGAGCCAAAAACCAAACTATATGGTGTGCAACCCGTTGCAGTTCACACTGTGGTTCTATAAGCCCATAAGGCTTCTGGGAGGCGTTCATGCCAATCTCTCTTGTTCTTTGATACCATTTTCTTTAGGATTTTACATAGCACTTTGTTGAAGGCTTCTACTTGGCCATTTAAAGACAGATTATAACTTGCTGAGAATTCATGTCGAAATTTGTATTTTTCCATCAACTTCATCATTGCTTTGCATCTGAAATAAAGAGCGTTGTCGGAGATGATCTTTGATGGCACTCCATAATAGTAGATTATATGATTCTTTATGAAGTTTGTGACATCTTCTGCTTTTACTTCTTTTAAAGGTACCGCTTCAGCCCATTTTGAAAAATAGTCCGTCCCAGCCAAAATGTACTTATGACCCTTTGAAGAGGCTGGCGTGAAAGGTCCAATTACATCTAAACTATGAGTATCAAATGGTCATGTGATTAGTGCATGAAAATACACCATAAATACTGTTTTTGATTTATATAATATTAAAATATTTAAGCTTTAATTAAGCAATTCTATTATTTTTATTCATAATATTTTTAATTAGAATTTATCTAATTTTTACTTAATTATTTACAGATAAAAAGTAGTATAAAAAGTTATACTAAAATAAGTCATGAAAATCATATTTCCAACAACACAAAATCAACCCGTTCAGCTAAGTCGAGTCAAAGTCACCGAGCTAAGCCACTGCACAGTCAGCGTGAAAATCCGCGCCTGTTTCTCCCGCTCTCTTTTTTCCCTCTTTATTTTTTGCACTGCTTTTGCTACTCTAATACCCATACGACAAAAGCTTCCCCCACTGTCATTCTCTCATTTTTCACTCCTCCTCGCTGCCTTTTCTTCTTCATTTTTTCACTCCACACTGAAGTAAAACTAGGGTTTCTTCTCTCTACTGCCGCTCCTTCTATTCTCTCCACTACTGCTCCATCTCTTCACGGTGACCCTCTCTTTCTCTCAAAAGTCACCCACCCTTGTGGCCTTGTTTCTTCTTCTTCTTCTTCTTTCTTCTCTGTCAACTCTCCTTCAGATTCAGCCTTAGGGAAGTCGCGTTCTTCTCATTCCTTCGTCAAATTCGGCCTTCGGGATGTCAAATTTCTTGCAAGGCCGCAGCTCCGTTTCAGGTATTTTCCCTATCTATTCTACTTTATGGCCATCCATGGCTTTCTCAATCCCATTTACCAAATCCTCACTTGGATCCTCCAAATCGGCCCTTTTCCATAATGGGTTCTCTTTACAATCATCTGTTCTTCCTGAATTTTTCGTACAGTCCCGTTCTTCGGGTATTTACGCAAGAGCAGCTACGGAGAAGAGTCTCTTTGTTTGGTGAAAATGCTCATTCCTTTGTACTCTATTGTTTAATTTAATTTATTGAGAAACCTAGTTTTGTATGGATTGGTGCAAAGAACCGACTTGTTGCTCAATCAAAATGAAACTTGAATCAGAGAAAAATAAACATTTCTTGTTACATGGGACTTATTTTGTGGTGATTTTCTCTGCAGGATATTGACGGTAAAGATGTTTCTGAAGGATGATTCTCTAGTAAATTCAAGAGAAAGGTCCTTTTGATTGTAAATGTTGCTTCAAGATGGTATTTTCTTCTTAACGACTGAGTTTTTCTTTTACTTTTTAATTATGCTTTTAACCAGTTTTTGTTTCGTTTTAATTAATACCAAGATATTAGATCCTGTATCTTTGAAAGTTTGATATTATGTGAATTAACTGAGAAATTCTCTTTGAATGTCAGTGGTTTGACAACTTCAAATTACTCCGAGCTATCACACTTGTATGAGAAGTACAAGACTCAAGGTAATGCTACACCTCATTAGTTATAAAGTAGTTCAAAATTTGATTATGTATCATGAAATTTGTTATATTGTCATCCTAAACTTTGAGCATAAAGCACCATTTTTAGTTTGACAAGCTAGTTTACTTTGGATACGATAAAAAAAATTAATTTAATATATCAATATGCTATATTTATTCTGTCTTATATTAGTATATTCAAATGGTCAGATAAGATGCAATGTGCTAAATTACTTGTGCTTTTTAAGCATTTACCTTATTAGTTGTTTCAGTTTGCTTTATTTCAAGAGTAATTGATTACTCCTAAGTCCTAGGGAAGATGTACCTAAGATTGATAACTCATTAATTGTGTTTCCTTTCTCTTTTGTTCTCTATTTTAGAGTCTCTTCATAATACGTAAAGTTATGAAGAGTTGAAAGAGATTTTGGCTATGCTCTGAAATTCGTTGGTGAAGTCAAGGATATAAATGAGCTTGTAAATTTTTGTATTTGGTTGAAATACTTGCGTGTGAAGATCAAGTTTTGATGCATTTCCTCTGTTTTTAATTGCTACAAGCGTTTTGGGTCCTTCACCTTCATTTACTCAATCATCCTCAAGTCTATTTTCTAACACCACTTCTAATCTATTTGCTCCAAAACCTCCAGTCTTTAGTAGTACAGGTTCACCAACGTGTTCTGTTTTTTTTTTTTTTGTACTTGCAGCCATCTTAATATCAACCTCAACTTTAAGCGGAAACACACTCCAACAATATTGATTCTATTATTTATGTAGCTCTTTCTAGTTTGGTACCTTCGGTTTGAACATATATGCTTCTGTAGTTGATTGAGTGTTTGGTGTTTCCTGTTATTATTAACAAGTGTTTATCAAATTTCTGGGTATGGTAATTAGAAACAAATGATGTGTTTATCATATATGCTTCTGTAGTTGATTGAGTGTTTGGAGGCTAATGGACGATTGATTAGTGGTCGCTGGTTCCTTCTTTTGTTTTGTTCTTGTCTTTTGTGTGCTCTCTCTCTTTTTGTTTTTTGGTTTTTTTTAAAAAAAAAAAAAAACTAATGTTGTTCTCTTTCGTTAATCTTCTGAACTGCTTAGCTAATATCCAATTGAATTATGTTTATTGTTGCAGAAGATTCACGTGAAGATGGTCTTGTTCAGGAGAAAGACAATCTTGTCAAAGTGAACCAGAAATCTAATGAAGGACATGATGACCATAATATCATTTCTTTCTAATGCATAATCAATGGCAGAGAAGGATCGTCTCGGAGCACATCAATTTCCTGAAAAAAAGATGAGTATTAGTGAATTACCATAGTACTTTTGCATGCCTAATAGAAAATGGACAAATTTTATGTTTTCCCCTAAATTATTAAACCAGTTTTATTTTGCCCTTGAACTACAAAATGAAGATGTTTTGGCCCTTGTTATTTTTGTTTAAAGTTGTGGTATAAAATAACTGTATTTTACCATAGTAGATGATAAATTATTTCAAGGAATTAACTAGATTTCTTTTTTCTTGCTTAATGTGCAGCGTAGAGCCTTACAAGAGGAGAACACACGCCTCCTGAAAAAAGTGGGATTTCAAATTAGTCATATTATAATTTTGTGTATCTCCATGCAACAATATCTTTTTCATGACTTGTGCATTCAAAGTTTCAAGTTAATCATATATGTATTGCTGGAGTTTGACACAGCGTAGAGCCCAGGCCCTCCTCCTAGGCCAGGCCCCCCTCCTAGGCCAGGCCCTCCCAGCCCAGGCCCCCACCAGCCCAGGCCCCCCTCCTAGGCCAGGCCCCCCCAACCCAGT